CCGTAGCCCTGGCCAGGAGTGGATGCCCACAGACATACAGGAACAGGATTTCTCAATCGCTTGATGTTCCAAATGTGTTCTTAATGTACTAAGCATTAAAATGGTGTACATTTCAAAGAAAAAATGAAGTTACTGCCTCTCCATGTATTTTTCATTAACAGTTTTTCAAGTGGCATAAACATAAACACTGTATGTCCATAATGAGTGCCCTTAACTATCATCCCACGTGAACACCTACCTTCTACATTGGAGGCCTGGGTTCGATTCCCAGCCACTGCCTCTCACACTCAGTACCACCTGTCTGCCTGCGGTGCCCCTGTGTGTGCTATCAGGATGCTGAACCGTTTTCAGCAGTTTCCAGTCTGAGCCGGACTAGGAGGAAAGGCTGACCATCCACTCCCAAAAACAGACATGGGCCACCCTCTGGGTCATCTACTGACCCTCACTGATCAGAGGTGGCATGGCGGGGAGTGCTGTCCTTTGTGGACCGATGGGGTGGGGGTGGGGCGGGGCAGTACTGTGCCCCTTGTGTGCAAAGTCGAGCTGAATTACTAATCACAATGCTTCTCACGGCCCACCTCCTGAATTATACACCGTCCTAGTGTTACGTATCCACTGTTTCTACCTTACACACTCACAGTCTTAGAAACAAAACAAACCTGCTTTTAAAGCAATTACATTTTTTTTAAAATGACCAAAGATAGCCTGCCTCCCGACCTGGCATTTTAGACACTGGGAGAGACCGCTGGCGCTCTGCCGAGAAAGCCTATCGCCTATCACGATCTGATCGCATGCAGGCCCAGGGCCCAGCTCAGGGTGTTAGGGACCTATTCTTGACCAAGATACAGCTCCCAGATAGGACATTACAGCTTCCTGGGCAAGATGGATTCTGATTGGCCAGGCTCTTATCACCAACCACACAGGTAACACTGTGGTCACTGCTGGAGACGCAAGGCCAGCCGAGAAAACCCGACAGGACCCCTCCAGAAAGGGCTGCTTCATGCACCAGAGCGACGTTACCAGTTACGAGCATTCTTGTCAGCAGCGCACATCAGCCGCTGAGACAAACAGGCCCTGGGTCCCGGGCACCTCTCAGGCGGGAAACACTGCCGGGGTCGAGGCTGTGGTGTTTCTGTGCGGGCTGCCCCAACCGCTCGTGGATCAGAGGGTTCACATACCTCCCACGTGGAGCCATAACTTCTTAATAATGGAACTTACTTCTCTTTGCCAAGGAATATGCTTCGTCCACTCTTCTTTTTATGGATGGATTTTTCAGAGTTGCCTTTGCCTATAGGTAACACAGAACATCCCATCAGCGGGTTACAGACGAGGCAGCTAATTTTGCCTACTGCTGCCTGCAGGTCTGACCCTCAGCCGGGCAACCACTCCTGCTTGCTCGACTCTAGCCCAGCCGCCATCCTGCCCCGTCCCATGGGGCCTCTCCCTCCGAGCCCCTAAACAGCACTCTTCCACCTTCAACCACTCAACCCCCTTTTCCGGGTAGGGGGACAGTTAGAACCCACCAGGGCACAGGAGGGAGAGCCCCAGAGATCAGCTTCTGTAAAGACTGTTTTCGCTGCTACTGTTGTGCACCTTCCAATAGGAACTGACCCACAGCTGACCCTCCAGCAGGTTTTCAGAGGCAGTAAATCGCACAGGAGGAGGCTGCCCATCCTTCTCCCATGAAGCAGCTGGTGGATTCAAACTGTGTGCCTTTGAGTTGCCAGTGAAGCTCCTTACTACTAGGCCAGCAGCACCGCCTTTGTAAGGTTTACAGGCGGGGAAACCCTCTGGGGCAGCTGGGCTGTGTGCCAGGGTCCCTGGGTCAGAACTGACTTGGCAGGACGTGATGATGACGTGCTCCATGCTAACAGTCGGGCAAGGCACCTTAGGCTGTGCTAAGGCCCAGGAATATGGCAGCAGGGACAGCACCTCTGTCCAGTCAGGTGGGGACCTGGCATGGACAGGACACTCGCCGGCAAAGCCCACTCTGCTACTGCTGCCTGGCTTCGCTGCTGCCCGTCCTCACTGCTGTCACCAGGCCTCGCTGTCACCCGGCCTCGCTGCTGCCTGGATACAATCTCCCCATGTGGATGGCCACTCCTGGGCCACCTGTCCTGGGTATCTGCGGCCAAGTGGAGGCCAGAGGGGCACCGAGCCCCAGCTGGCATCTCGCTGGACCGGCCCTGCCAGGTTCTGCCCATAGAACAAACGGGTCAGACTCAGAGGATGTTGAAGAGAGAAGGGGAGTCAGCTAATCAGAGAGCATGTCATTTGGTTTTATTTCAAAATGCATCTTCCTAGACATGCATCTTGTGAGAAATAATCTATACACACATTGCACCACCACTACCACGATCCAATTAACCTGACGGGGAAGCGCATTTAACAGGGACGTGCACCGGAGTGACGGAAGGAAAGCAGCTTTGTCTCGTGGTCGCTAACAGCAGGATGCACATAGACTGAGGGTCCCACCTGGTCTCCGCTCCCGGGGTTCAAACCCACCTTGTGGTAATTGTGGCTCAGAGCCCAAAGTGCGGCAGCTCCGATGCGCTGAGTGTCCTCATTCCCACTTTCCAGGCAGGTGGCAAGCGCAGCAACGACCTTCTCTAAGGAAACACGTAGAGAAGTGAGCCACGCACAGGACATGCCTGCTCGCCCCTCAATGCACACGGGTGGAACCCTCGGACCGGTGCTGGTCGCCCTCTCTTTACAGGATGCATGTCTCCTGCAGGGCCCTTCCCAGGCTTCCCGTCCCCTTCACCCTGCTTCGTGCCCACCCACCCGGGATCTGAAAGCGAGGCCTGGCTCAGGGTCCTGCGCTCGCCCGTCTGCTCAGCTCTCCGCTCCTCGACCATCACATCTCTCCTGATGTTCCCAGCTACACCCAGGGCTCCAGCCACAGCCAGGGGTCCGGCCACAGCCAGGGGTCCAGCCACAGCCAGGGGTCCAGCCACAGCCAGGGCAGCAAGCACAGACAGGGCTCCCAGCAGAAGCCCCTCACCCACAGAGCTCAAGCCCTAGTGCTTTGGGAGGACCCGCAACAGACAGACAGATACAGAGGGGCCTCAACAGACACGACTGGGGTGGGGGGAAGGGGTGTGGTATATGGTCAGCAGGCCCCATAGGTGGCATCGTGACGGCAGCACCACGTGCTCAGAGTGGGGAGACGGGCCAGGGAGGACAAGAAGGACAAGGGGCAGGGCTAGGAGTCCTGCACGGACACTCACAGGGTCCACACGTGATCCACACCCAGCCTCCACACAATCTATGAGATGCAATCTGTGTGGAATCCATTCAATCTGCATGATATCAGCACACATTCCACATGAAGTTCACATGCAATCTGCACACAAGTGACAGGCTCCCTTCAATCCACACACAGTGCACATGTGATCTACACACAATCCACACACAGTGCACATGTAATCTGCATGCAATCCACACACGGTGCACATGTAATCTGCATGCAATCCACACAGTGCACATGTGATCTGCACGCAATCCACACACGGTGCACGTGTAATCTGCATGCAGTCTAGGCAATCCACCCAATCTGCACACAAGCCACACGTAATCCACTCAATCTGCACACAGTGCATATGCAATCTTTGTCCAATCTACATGTAATCTGCACAAATCCACCTCCATAAGCCACCTGCATGTAAGCCACACACAACCTGCATCCACACGTCTCGTTCCTGCTGCCTCTTCCGAGCGCTGTCGATCCCAGACACCACGTGTGTGACTCTGGCAGCTCATGGAAGGCCAGGGCTGGTGTGACTGGTCCCCAGCACGCTGCCTTCCACAGCGTCCCACACGCAAATGAGGCCCACCAGCCCCGGCCAAGTGTCCACGTTCCACTGCAGGTGTCCACCGCAATCTCCCGTGTGCAGATGTGTGCGTACAGATGTGTGTGGGCACCTACCGTTAGCCAGGATCTTGGGCTTGTTAGCGGGCCCAAAGCAGATGTTATGGAAGATGAGGAGGGGCAGGCAGGGCCTGCTCTTGTACTTGAACTTGCTCATCTCCGTGAGCAGGTCCAGGCAGCCGTCCAGCCTCAGGATCATCTGCTGCCCGTCCTCCCCGAGTGAGATGTTGAGAAGCAGCTTGAGCCACAGGACAGCCGTGTGGCTGAGGTGTTTGCTTCTCCCTTTCGGCAACGCCAGCGACAGAAAGTTCTGTAGGAAGTTGCTCTGTGGGGGAAGAGAGAAGATGGTGCATTCTGCCTGGGCCTTGAGAAAGTTCCCCGGGCCCTCAGTGACCAATTAACTAAAAGCACTCGGGCAGCTTGTCCCCATTTTAATTTCTCCTTTCCGCTCTCTCTCCGTCACCTTCGGGTTTAAGGGGAAAGGGTGGGGAGAACCCAGGCACACCCACATTCCACTCCTCACTAATCTCACAACGGATGGCACACGGTGTGGTCAACTCTTAAGTATTTAGACCGATCATTCCAACAGGGGGTCATTTCGGGCCTCCTGAGTTTGCACTTTCTCTCTGCCTGCTGGCAATGTTGCTACTTACTAAACATTATCCTTCAGGAAGGCAGAGAAATAAATCCGAGTTACCAGCTCTGGGTGCTGTGAGGGTTTCTGAATCACTGAATCATTATGGCCGCAGGCGTGTTAAATAAAGTGTGCAGACACCGCTAGGTTTACTTTACACCAGTAACGATTATCACAGATAATAACTTCTGTTAGCCATATGTCACTGAACCGACAGGCAAGAAAGCTTTGTCACCTGAACTGTAAATCATTACAGTCTCTTAAAAGAACTTCCCCGAAACCCCACCACACCCATCACTATGTGAGAGGCAAGAAATCTTGTCTAGAATAATCTCCATGCAAACCAACCAAGCAGAAAAGAATGTCAGCAAGCATGTCCGCGCCAAGTCCAGCTGACTCGGGCCCCGGGAGTGAGCGCTCAGTTCTCGGTCACCCCGGGTGCCTTGCTCTGGTTTCGAGTCCACTTAGCTTGTTTCGTGGGGTCCCCTGGACCTAAGGCAGGATGTTGCCTTCAATCTATAGTTAACTTAGTGCTTTTATGTCCAGGCTCTTGGGGTAGAATGGAATCAGTTCCTGAACTAGCAGCACATGCAGCAGGCTCAGAGTGAGCTGCAGATGTCTGTGCACCCTCTCTGCTTAAGTAAACCCTTCCGAAGGTCTACTCCTCGCTTCTCAATCAGCTAGACTCCATCATTCGGGGCTGGCACAGAGCTAGACCGCCATGGAAGGGGGTGCAGGCGGGCCTCCCTCTGCATCTAGAGGCATGGGTAACCAGACAGGAGGTGAGGATGGGCTGGGGCAGGGCAGCTCTACGTCTTTACTCTTATCGACTCACAGCGGACCCTTGAGTGGGCTTCACAGGCTGTAAATGGCACCTGGGAGCTGCTGGTGGACTTGAACCAGTGGAGAGGTTCAGCTTTGGGGTTCCCTATGGGCCACACCATCAAGCTGCCCACCGCAGGCATCAGAGCCCTGCACACGTGAGCAGCAGAGCTCACTGCACTTCCTAGTGGCACAGCTGAGCAACGGAGGGGCAGACCCCAGTGGCCGAGGGACATTTCCCAGAGGAAGAGATGACAATGGAGGGGTTCAGACCCCGGTGGCCCTGGGCCAGTACAACTGCACACAGCTGAGGAGGTCTTGGGGGCCTCCTCATCAGAGCAGGGAAACAGTGTGCTCAGCGCTGGGCCCTGAGGCCGACACCAGAGTAACGTTCTCAGCCCCAGGCTCCTTTAGTTCACCTCTTTTTAAAACACAGCAGCAGACCTGCGAGCAGCACTGGCAGTTCGCATGGGGCCCCAGCACCGAGCTCCGTGGGGAGAGCGGGTGGGAGCACTGGGGGGCTGTTTCACAGTGGGTTCTGGTACGGTGGGGGCCCCATCTGAGCGCTGCCCAACCCCCTGTGGGTCTCTCAACCATGGCTGACGGCAAGATGACGACATGTCGTCAACCAACTGCAGACACTTGGGCCGGTGTGAGTGCCAAGCCCCCCGAATAGCCCCTTCCTTATCCTGGTCGAGTTGTGGTGGGCAGACTCGGGTTCTTGGGGGGGATGGAGGGATGGCACAGGGAGGGACGAACACTCTCCATGTGGGCAGCTCATTCTGACCTGCATGTGCCAAAAACAGAAGGCTCCACATTGCCCCCAGGGACAGGCCAGCGACACGCAAGCTGATCAAGCTGAGGTTTGCGGGATGTTCCAAATAGGAGCCCTGTTCACACACACCTGGATGGAGACGCTAAGGGATCACGTGAGTGAGAAGAGGTTCACCCAATTCGGCCCCTTCTGCATTAAGACCAGTGAGAAGAGGTGACATTTGGCACTGGAGCTCTGTCGGCTCACTAGGGGGCGACATGTGCCCCTCACAAAGGAGCTGAAGGAGAGGCGTGGGGTATCCTCAACCACGCGGCCAACACCAAGTGAACCGAGACTTACTCCTCAATCTGCTCTGTTCACAAAGAAATGTGGACAGCTGGCATCGAAAAGCCCCGTTTTTCTGTGTAAGGCACAATCCCAGAGCAGCTGAGATGCTAGGATCTCACAGGTCCCTTTCCTTTCCACGGATCTCCAACTGGTCGTGTGTGAAGCGAGCCGAGCTCTCCTCTGATCTGTCAGGACAAGCGTCTAGGCCCACAGAGGCTGAGCCCACCTTCCCAGGGGCTTCACAGCACCAGCTCACCTTCTGAATGACCCCCTTGCAGTCGTGGGACAGGGCGAGGTTGGACAGGAAGGTGAAGGCGGCGTGCTGGACGGCACTGCTGTCCAGCGGCATCTGTGAGGCCAGCTTGAGGATACGGATCATCAGCGAGCTGCTGGCGGCCCCTCTGCAGGCCGGCGGCGCGGGGGACGGTCCCGAGCTGGACCAGCACAAGGAGCTGCAAGCTAAACACAGGCAGAGTCAGTCCTCCCGGGTCTCAGCACCGTCCCGATGTCGAGTGCCATGTCCACAGCCACGTGTCCTGACGACAGCCTGGACAACAAATCGCCCTTCCTGCCGGTGCTGACATCCACATCCGTCTAATGAGGGCCCTTAAGAGAATGTTCTAAGGAGCACCAGGCTCAGAAAAATAAAACAGCAAAACAGATTTCTAGATAATCTTTTAAGAGAGTATTTGGGCCTCACTGGGTGGTACAGTGACTAAGGTGCTTGGTCCCCAGTAGGTGATTTATGACCCCAGTTTTACAAAGGACTGGGGTACGTGTGTGGCTGCCCACCCATCTCTCAGTGGGCAGAAGCGGAGGGAGTCTGTGTCCTAAACACGGCTCTGGAAACGCCGTGGGCGGCTCTCCTGTTCTCCAGGGTCCCTGAGTGAGGAGGGGTCAGCAGCAGTGGGTCTGGGGGAGGTCTAAGGTTTAAGTGGGTTCTCAATTCTCCAGTCCTGGACTGTCTGCTCCCCGCTCCACGACCCCATTCACACCCTCCCATCACCTCCAATCTCCCACTTTGTCTGTGCTCACTCGGGGGTGGTCTTCTCTCAGCACCAGGGAAGACACAGGTGCGTCCAGGAGGGAGCTCTTACCACACCCACCCACCTGGCAATGGATGGTGGCAGACGGCGTGACCCCTCCCTGCGCTGACCCGTGATCTCATGTCCACACATCTACTCCTGCACTCTTCCAACTGTCCACATGCTTTCTCCCACCACAGAACACCAAGTATGTTTTCAAGACATGAAATCGGGATGGGAGTGTCAGAGACAGTGTGATTGGCACAGAACAGAGCAGAGTTTAGGGCTGTTGTACATAGGGTCGCTATGAGTCGCAAGTGACTCGCCGGCACATAACAACAACTCTACCCAAGTCATGTTGCACACTCCTGTAGTTTCTATTCTTTCTCTCTGTAAGGAGTGAATGTCTACACAGGCTGGCCCCACTGCCTCTGCTCTTCTCAGCCCACCAGTCAGGCTCTTTGGTCCAATGCTGCCTCATCTCAACCCACCAATCAGGGTTCTCCATACACTTCTTCCTCATCTCAATCCACAGATCAGGTCCATGCCCTCAGCTCTCCCTCTCAACGCACCACCAATCAGGCTCCTGCCTCTAATTCTTCCTCTTCTCAACCTGCCAATCAGGGTTCTGTCCCCAGAGTCACACACGACTGTTCTGCAGGTCAGGAGAACATCGCAGTTGGCGACTCCCAGCAGTCACTGCTGCCAGCCTCATTTCTTTAGCTTCACGTGGTGTAGTCCATGTTCCCACTTCGGACCTTCGGACTCTGCACCGTTTCCACTGGCTACACCCTCCTCTTCACCTTCGCTCATCTCCAAAGACTGGTGTGCCCACAGCTGGGTCATGGCCTTCTCCTCCTTCCACGCACACACTCCCATAGCTGACCTTAGGGCCCAGGACAGTCTACAGGACAAGGCTGCCCAAAATAAACTCAGGCCCCATGCCCGTCATACAGTCTAACAGCACAAGGTACTGTCTATACAACAAGGTTGACCTGAAACAACTTCAGGGCCCATGAGCTCACAGTCTAAGGACAAGGTCCTCATCTCCCCACGCACACACGGGATGATCTCAGGGCCCATGGCCTTCATGGTCTACAGCACAGGGTCCAGTCCTCCTCTGTCCATGCACCTGCTCCCTGGCGACATGAGGGCCCATGGCCTTCACAGTCTACGGGACAGGGTTCTCTCCTCCTGTGTACATGCTGGGCAACCTCATGGGCCCAGGATCTCCACAGACTACAGGGCAATGTGTCCCCCTGTCCCCCTCCTCAAGCACACACTATCTGGGATGAGCTTGGACCCATGCACAGCCTTCCTGCTGTCTCCACGTCCTCCTCCCCCACACACACTCCCTGGATGACACAAACGACCACAGCTTCATGGACAAGGTCTAACCCTCTCCTGCACACTCACTCCCGGAAGGTCCTCACACCGTCCAAGGTCAAGGTTTAGTCCTCTTTCTCCTTCCACGCACATGCTCCCCTAGACTGGCTGCTCTTGGGGTGGTGTTGTACGTACCACTTGGGTAATTTGCTGTGTAGACGCAAAGGAGCTGTAGGGAGATCTGCAGCAGCGAATCATCCATCAAAAGCCAGGGCCACAGGGAGTGCAGGACAGGGACCAGGTGGGCCTCCAGAGCCGCCTCCTGCAGTGGAAAGAAGCAGGGACAGCACTGGGCTCAGTGTCTGAAAACATGGAATTAAGATCCAACGCAGAACAAAGGCTGGACTCGGCTCTGTGATTCAGTGGAGGCCTCCTGCCCTGTCCAGGCCCTGGGCCCTGTGCACACTGTGCTGACGGAGAGCTCAGCAGGCGAGGAGAGAAACACACGCTGCAGCCACTGTCACGCTGCCTCAAGCAGGGAAGTGCCACCTCCACGCCGAATGCGGGCCCGACAAGGCAGGCCAGTGGCTGCAGCATGGGACTTGCCACTTGGGAAGACATTCGGATAACGCTCTCACGCTCGCTCACATAACCGGGTTCTCTTGATTCTTTTGGTTTATTCCTGATTAAATGTGAAAAAAGTATGGAAATGCTTTGGTTTGCTGAGCAATTCCACTATGATACCAACGCAGGTGCCATGTTTCCGGGCAGCGCCCAGGTTAGCGGTGCCCGGCCGTGTTCTGGAGCACTCCCCAGGTAAGCTCTCACCCCTGGCCTGTGAGGGCCCCGGATGATGTAGCAGGAGAAACCACAGATTTACTAAATGACGCCTGTGCTTTGAGAAAAAAGCTCACAGACCAAGAATTTTAATAAAATGTACAAATACCTAGTTCCCATCATTTTTGTTTTGAAATCACTTTTCAGTGATGAGTCCTGAGCAAACTCTTCAGCATTGCGTACAGAACAATTGCTCAAGATGTTTATTCCTCAGATGTTTTCTCTCCACTTCTACCATTAAGTAACAGTAAAAACAGGGGAGATGTTTACAAACCAAGTTCTTTCTGTTATTTCTTGCCCATTTTCTAGGGATGAAAGCGCCTAGGGCTTGAGCAGTGTCCAGTTAATGGAGACAGAACAAATCAAAGTGCTGGAAAGACACCGTTCTGTGTACAGTCCTCAGGCGTCAAAGCTTCAGCGTTCGGCCGTTACAGAGCAAAGCTGACAGCTTCCAAGCACAGGAATCGACAGCCTCAGAAGGAAGGTGTGTGCTTGGGCCAGAAAGAAAGAACTTCTTCTCTGAAGCAGAAGACAAGCTCACCTTCTTTCTAAGGCCAGAATTCTGGTTATTCCCTTGGACATTTGTTCTGATGACCCCTCTGAAGACCCTGCCCCTTCTAAGACACTTGCACACGTTCACTCCCGTTTCAGAGCCACATGGACATGAGTGATCACACGGCAGGAAGCTGGCTTGTGTGAGGTGTCTGATGACAGAGACGCGTACTCAGCACTGAAGGACCCGGCCAGGTGCTCCCTGCGGTTGAGGATCCCAGGGTGTGGACTCATTAACCGTGACCCTGATCCTAAGCCAACCGTGAGCACCATGGCCTGTCTTACCCGCACTGCCAGCCCAGCCCTGCGTCCGCCATTCGTCTGCAAACTTACTTTACATTTTTCATTCTGATAGAGGCAGTTTCTCAGGAGCTGCATGGCGGTGCTCAACTCTTTACTGAAACCGTCCTCCTGTTTAGAGAAAGAGCAACCCGTGAGCCCGGGGCCCACTGCACCTTCCCCGGGCCTTAGGACGGCCTGAGTGCGTGGGTCACCAACTGTCACCCTGAGAAGGACACTAGTGACCTCTGCAAGACACCAGGGCTCAAGGGCTCATCCCCCACAGCAAAGCGCTGTCTGTTCTTCCAGGATGCAGGGTCGAGCCATGTCACAGCTCCGAGTCCCAGTGTGCTGGAAAACAGTGTCTGTGATGGGGTCTGAGGCCTGGTGTCCCAGGAATGAAGTGTAAGAACTGCCTGCCTCAAATCAAATCCTAAGGAAGGTTCCCAGGGTGCATTCTGGAAGAGCGCTTTACCAGACCCTTCCCTCGGCTTCTCCTAAGACGCAGGAGCTCTTGCAACATGCTGGGTGACACAGTGGCCAGAAGGCTCAGAGGACACCTCAGTGTCATTCCTAGTCAACAATGCTTACTCTGGGGGAAGGTTTTCTTGTCGGTCATTGTTGTGTCATCAAGTCATCTATGACTCACAGTGACCCTCCAAACAGGAGGTGTGCACCCTGTCCTGTCCTGTCCTTAGCCAGCCATGTGCTAATAATACTCAAGAACTGGGCTATAGTCACAGTGTCAATCCATCCTATCTTCCTCATTCTCTGATTCTTCATTCTTTCAAGGACCAGCCCTTCTAGGCCAGTGCGGCCTGGACGACACGCCCTAGTGTGAGGTGAACGTTCGCCGTCCTTTCTGCTAAGGAGACCCTCAACTGTACATCCTTTAAGACAGACTTAGGGTCACAGACACGTTGTTGTTGTTGTTGTGTGCCGTCGAGTCGCCTGCGACCCACAGCAAACCTATGTACAGCAGCTCTGCTATCTCCTGACAAAATACTTACAATAACAAAAACACAGAATAAATCCCAGGGAGCCCTGCTTAAGTGCTTTGCTGCTGAGATCATTTGTCCAAACACAACAGCTGCTCCACGGACGAAGGATGTGGTAGTGGACTTCCGGGAGGACTGCTTACTGCCGTTGAGCCTGAATCCACTGACAGCTGACCGTCTAGCGGGTTCTCAGCAGCTGTCATTACGCAGAAGGAGAGTGTTCATTCTCCTGGGGAGCCGCTGGTCACTCACTGGAGTGAAGCCCGTCTCCCTGAGGTCAGCAGCACAACACTCCACCCTGTCGGCCATTCACAGCCCGGGAAACAACACAGGTGGTCTGCTCTGTCCTACAGGGAGGCTATGAATCACCGTGACAACAGGTTTGGTTTGGGTTTGCAGGATCTGATTCGCATTCAAGTCAGATTGAAGTCAACACTCAAACCACCATCTACAAAGAGAACACCAAGTCTGCTGGCACAGTGGTCTCCTGACCCTACGACCATCCTCTCCAAACCGCCGTGGCGGGTGTGGCTGGACCCTGGTGGGCGGCACTGGCCCTCTGCCTGCCCTGCTGCACACTGGGACGCAGCTACCTTTCTCCTCAGGGCAGCTCGTCCCGGCCGCAGGGAGTCCAGGTTCAGCTGAGCACAGACATTCTTCATCTGGTCCACGCAGCTGTCCACGAGACCGGCTGGAAGACAAACGCCAGTGAGAGAACTGTCCACAACCAAGAACCCAACACCCACCAGTCACACTCCTGGGACCTCGGCCTCCTCTAAATTCACTTCAGCATTTTTTAAAATTTATTATTTCTTCTTTATTAATGAATTAGAGACCAGGTGGAGAGTAGAAGAGAACTACCACATGTAAAGCCCACTTGTTTTCAAAATTCTTAGTAAAATGTACTCAAAGTCGAATCCCTGTTCCAGGGATGCAGGATCCGTCTCCCGGCCAAACCACAGCTTGAGGGAGGGGACCTGAGGCCGTGTCCTTTCATCTCTGAGGTCTACTTCCCATGATACACAGGCCCTCCAAGGAGGAGGAAATTCACATGAAAACACAGGATCCCTCCCTGCCACTGTTGTTGTTGTTGATGGCCTTCGAGTCGAGCACGACTCACAGTGACCCTATGAACAAAAGGCCTGAAGCCCCTCTACAACCATCGACGTTTATCAAAGTTCATAGGGTTTCTGGAGGCAAGTTGTTTAGGAAGTGGATGCCACTCCTACTACAGTGCTACACTCTAAACCACGCATTTTGTTTTCTTTTCCGATGTGTGATATTGTGGATGCTCTCTTACTACTGTAGAATTGAGAAATGCACTGTTTTTCTAATAGTTAGACAAGGATCTCCAGTGCACAGTATGTTAACTGAAAGGTCATGGACATCGCGGGAAACACGGAACCGTCTGCTTTCACAGAGACGCACGACCTTAGGACCCAACGGGCCAGTCCCTGTTGTCCAACAGCGCACCATGGATCAAATCAGTTCCATGGGGAGGGGTTCTTAATGTTGCTTTAAAGTTTACATTCTTTAAATGATGAGTGATTATATCATAAATAACACTTATTTTTAAAATAATAAATATCTACTGTGCTTTTGTATGGAAAAAGATCTCTTTTCCCCATGGATGCTGAGGTAGTATTACATGCTGAGTTCAAAGAACATGGTGATGGACAAGCAGAGACATGTGTGAATGGACGGTGTGGCCGCCGGGCGCCGCGTGGCACTCACCTTCCAGCGCATGTCTCTGCGCCCGTCTGCTCACGGCCAGGAGGGACATCAGGGCGTGGGCACTAGCTCTCCTCAGGGGGTCCTTGGCGGCCTTCCCTTCATAGCTCTGCAGAGACAGAGAGGAACCCTGAAGGGAACTTTCACCTTTCCAGACCCACTGCAGGTGGTAGACACGCTCCACAGAAGAGGTGCTGCTAGACGGGACCTTTTCAATGAGATTCACCAGAACTGGAGAAATTGAGCTAAATATGTGAGCACATTCTGTGGACAAACTAAATAGAATTTGGAATACGGAAACCCACCAATTACTCTCAAGAATCTGCTATCTTACGTAAAAAAAATGGTGTAATTCTGGATTTCAGGTCTCAGCTGAAAGCAGGAGGTACAGGCCCATTGGCTTCTGATGGCCTGGGCCCATCTGCCCTCCATGATGTCCATGGCCTGGGCCCTCTGTCCTCCATGATGTCCATGGCCTGGGCCCATCTGCCCTCCATGATGTCCATGGCCTGGGCCCATCTGCCCTCCATGATGTCCATGGCCTGGGCCCTCTGTCCTCCATGGATGTCTGTGGGCTGGGCCCTCTGT